GTTCACCCACGACAAACTTAAGGTGAAATAACGGGTGATGTTGTTCACCCACAACAAACTTAAGGTGAAATGATGGGTGATGTTGTTCACCCACGACAAACTTAAGGTGAAATGATGGGTGATGTTGTTCACCCACGATAAAATTGAGGTGAAATGATGGGTGATGTTGTTCACCCACGATAAAATTGAGGTGAAATGATGGGTGATGTTGTTCACCCACAACAAACTTGAGGTGAAATGATGGGTGATGTTGTTCACCCATGACAAACTTAAGGTGAAATGACGGGTGATATTATTCCCCCATCAGGGTTAATAACCCAGCCTGTCCCACACATTAACCCCTATGTGTGTCCCCCATTCTAACCCCCATGTGTCCCCCACAGGAACCCACGGGCATCGCAGTAACGGCGCTGGGGGAGATCCTGGTGGTTGACGGGTGTCAGGTCCACGTGTTCTCCCCCAGCGGGGGTAAACTGATCGCCTCGTGGGGCGAGCGGGGCAACACCGACGGCAAACTGGGGGACGTGGGCGCCATATGCACAGTCCCTCCTCCCCCAGAGGAGGGGATGGGGGACAGCGTGACGGGTGAGTGTTGTATGTGTGGTGTTATGTGTGTAGTGTGTGATTGGTGGTGTGTGTGATGTTGTGGGTGGGTCTTTGGGGGCGTTCACCCATGATCGTACTCCTCAGAGCCCTTGTGAAGTACGTCCCTCTCCTTGAGTACTGCTGCCAGCTATAGACCCTCTTCAGAGCCCTTGTGATCCCTCTCCTTGAGTACTGCTGCCAGCTATTGGCCCTCTTTAGAGCCCTTGTGATCCCTCTCTTTGAGTACTGCTGCCTGCTATAGACCATCTTCAGAGCCCTTGTGATCCCTCTCTTTGAGTACTGCTGCCAGCTATAGACCATCTTCAGAGCCCTTGTGATCCCTCTCCTTGAGTACTGCTGCCAGCTATAGACCATCTTCAGAGCCCTTGTGATCCCTCTCTTTGAGTACTGCTGCCAGCTATAGACCCTCTTCAGAGCCCTTGTCTCTTATACACATCTAGATGTGTATAAGAGACAGCTCCAGAATGGGAAGCCGTTATGTCCTTAGTGGTGTCCAAAGCTGGCAGCAGTACTCCAG